ATATATATATATATATATATATAGCTTCCTAACTAGTTCGACAGCTAGCTAACTGACTAGCAGGCAGAGTAGACAGCTAGCTAGCTAGCTAGCTAGCTAGGTGTTGTGTATTGCGTTTATGACAGGTGGTGGTGAATGGGCCTGGGAGCTGTCTCCCCGTCGTCTTCGCTGCAATCTTCTGGGAGGTCAGAGCTTTCACCTTTTCTCTCAGCAGCAGCAGCAGCAGCAGCAACAGCAGCAGCAGCAGCAGCAGCAGCAACAGCAGCAGCAGCAGCAGCAGCAGCAACAGCAGCAGCAACAGCAGCAGCAGGAAGAGGAGCAGCAGCAGATGGAAGTGAAGGTGTTTATGTTTGTGCTGCAGTTTGTCTTGGGGTCGCCTTTAAAGATAATTTACATTGAAAGTTTCTGTAGAGTTTCTTCGCTGTCTTTGACGGGGATTTGTTTATATCCTTTTGTTAATCGCTTTGCTGTTCAGTGGGAACAACTTAAAAAATATTATTCACAAGCAGACTTCGTCGGCATACTCACATGATGTAATGCAACCTGCTGCTGCTGCTAGCGCTGCTGCTGCTGCTGTCGCTGCTGCTGCTGTTGCTGCTGCTGCTGTTGCTGCTGCTGCTGCTGCTGCTGCTGCTGCTAGCGCTGCTGCTGCTGTAGCATTAGGGTAGCAATTTGCAGTGCATGTGTTTTTGCGTTGATGCGCCTAAATTTGCTGCTGCTGCAGGAGAGACGAGGGAATGCTGCTGCTGCAGTAGCAGCAGCAGCAACTGCTGCAGCAGCAGTAGTAGCTGCAGCAGCAGCAGTTGCTGCAGCAGCAGTAGTAGCTGCAGCAGCAGCTTCAGCAGCAACAGCTGCAGGAGCAACAGCTCGAGAGGAGATTTTCTTTTTTTACGTTCTTCTTCTTGGTTTGTTTTATTTGTTTACTCTGTCTATATCTTGTGTATATCTTTTATAGTATTAACTTTGTTATTTAATTTAATATTTTATTTTTATTAAGATTAGCTCTTTATCTGTTTAATAGCCCTCCATGCCCTACCCCACACTGTCAAAGGAGGGGCTTCCTCGCCGACTTCAATCACCTTAACTACATAAACCAATACCTGCAGCAGCAGCAGCAGCAATAGCAGCAGCAGCAGCAACAGCAGCAGCAGCAATAGCAGACATAGCAGAAGCAGCAATAGTAGACATAGAAGCAGCAGCAATAGCAGCAGCAACAATAGAAGCAATAGCTGAATCAGCAATAGTAGACATAGAAGCAGCAGCAATAGTAGCAGTAGCAGCAATAGGCGCACCAGAAGTAGCAGCAATAGCAGCGGCAGCAGCAATAGAAATAGAAGCAGAAGCAGCAGCAGCAGCAGCAGCAGCAATAACAGCGAGCAGCAACAGGAAATCGTGAAAGGAAGAATGTGCAGACGAAAATAAAAAAGCAAAAGAGAAACATCGCGAACAAAGAACAAGCAAACAAGCACAATGAGGGTTTAGGGTTTAGGGTTTAGGGTTTAGGGTTTAGGGTTTGAGGTGTATAGGCACCTCGTTGCAGACGCCCGGGTACATCAAATGAGGGGGAAGGATTAACTCTCTCTTTCCTTGATTAACAGCAGCAACAAATAAATAAATAAATAAATAAAAATAAATATATAAATATATAAATAAAATAAATAAAATAAATAAACGAACAGATGCAGAGACAAAATAAATAAACAAACAACCAAATAAACAAGCAGAACAAATAAATAAATAAATAAATAAAGGCAGCAAAAGGGACGGAAATGAATTAAAGAAGAGCGAACAAACAAATAAGAAAAACAACAACAGCAGCAGCAGCAATATCAGCAGCAGCAAGAGCAGCAGCAGCAGCAACAGCAGCAGCAGCAGCAAGCATTACCTCCTCTTTTCATTCCGCAGACGCCTCTAGCCAATCCCTCCGGTAGATCTGCATTCTCTTCTTTGTTTTTTGTTTTATTATTATTTATATTATTATTATTTATATTATTATTATTTATTTTATCATTGTTATTATTATCATTATTTGTTTTATTATTTGCTGCTGTCTCTCGCTCTCCTGCGCTGTCTTCTGTTTCTTCTTCTTCTAGAGGCAGCACCTTCACTCTGTAGCAGCTGCTGCTGATTCGAGGCCTCCAGTAACTCCCCTTCGCAAAACAACAACAGAAAAACCCTAAACCCTAAACCCTAAACCCTAAACCCTAAACCCTAAACCCTAAACCCTACCTGTTGCAGCTCTTCTGCCTTCGAATTCAATCCATGCGGTGTCTCCTGGGCGTAGGGGCTCGCCTTCACCCTCTTCTTTATCAACGTACCTGCAAACCCTAAACCCTAAACCCTAAACCCTAGACCCTAGACCCTAAGCAGCTCCTTAGCCGCCTCATTGCTACAAACCCTAGCCCCAACCTGTAACTCCGCGGGTGCTGCTTCGGTGCGAATACGCGAGTTTCTAAATTAGGGTTTAGGGTTTAGGGTTTGTGGTTTAGGGATTGTGGTTTAGGGTTTAAGGTTTAGTGTTTAGGGTTTAAGGTTTAGTGTTTAGGGTTTAAGGTTTAACGTTTAGTGTTTAGGGTTTAAGGTTCAACGTTTGGTGTTTAGGGTTTAGTGTTTAAGGTTTAGAATCTAGGGTTTAGGGTTTAGGGTTTAGGGTTTAGGGTTTAGGGTTTAGGGTTTAGGGTTTGTAGGTGTTTGTTTACTGGAAGCCCAGCTTAGACTTTGAGTAGATATCTTTCTTTATTTTCTTCTCGAGATAAACCGCCTTATCAATCCCAAAGCAAAACGCAGTGGACCTGCAACCAACACGCAGCTTGCTGCTGCTGCTGCTGCTGCTGCTGCTGCTGCTGCTGCTGTTGCTGCGGATGGGGTAGTGGGCTTGATTCCTAGCGGTGCGGCTGCTGCTGCTGCAGCTGCTGCTGCTGCAGCTGCTGCTGCTGCAGCTGCTGCTGCAGCAACAGGCCGGAGCTACTGCAGCAGTAGCAGCAGCAGCAGCAGCTGCTGCTGCTGTTATAAAGTATCTACCCATAGGTGTGCTTCAGTGGTTGTTGCTGCTGCTGCTGCTGCTGCTGCTGCTGCTGCTGTCGGTGTTGCTGCAACTTCATAGCTACGCCCTCCCACTACACCATTTTATAATAATTTTAATTATTATCAAAATAATTTAATTTTTTTACGTTAATTTTACTTCCTTCTCCTCAATTATATCCTCTGCTATTCATCAAACCCTTAGGGGCCCCCCTAGGGGCCCCCACGTAGGGGGGCCCCCCATAGGGGCCCCTCAGGGGGCCCCTCAAGGGGGCCCCCCAGGGGGGCCCTCGGGGGGCCCCTAAGGGGTCCCTAGAGGGGCCCCTATGGGGGCCCCTATGGAGGCTACTAACGGGGGCCCCTTAGGGAGGCCCCTAAGGGGCCCCCTATTTGGGGGGCCCCCAGGGGGGCCCCCAAGGGGGGTACTAAGGGGGCCCCTAGGGGGGCCCCTCTGAGGTTGAAGAGTATTTGTGTTTGTTTGATTTGTTTGTTTATATGTGTTGATAGAATTTGGTTTATTAAAGAGATAAAATAGAGAGAGAAGAGAGACAGACAAATACTGCTTCGCAGCAACAGCAGCAGCAGCAGCAGCAATAGCAGCAGCAGCAAATGAAGTAACGGCCGCAACAACTGCAAAGACTGAAGCAGAAAACACTGTCGCTGCAACAGCAGCAGCAGCAGCAGTAGCAACAACAGCAGCAGCAACAGGTTTTGCTGCAGCAGCAGCAGCAGCAGCAGCAGAAAGCTGCGCAGCAATGGTTTGCTGCAGCTGCTATCCCCTCCTACGCTTTATAGGGGGCCCCCTGGGGCCCCCTCCAGCACTGAGGGAGTCTGTCTTTTGTATTTCTTCTTCATTCAAATGCAGCAGCCCCCTCTTATGCGGCCAAAGCCCTAGGCGATTAATTAACAGCAGCAGCAACAGCAGCAGCAACAGCAGCAACAGCAGCAGCAGCACTGGCTGCAGCAGGAGAACGGGCTTGAGCTGCAGCAAAAGCTGCAGCCATAGCATTGTTTGCAGCAGCAACAGCAGCAGCAGATACAGCAGCAGCGCTAGATACAGCTGCAGCAGGCGGTACACCTGCAGCAGCAGCAGCAGCAGCAGCAGCACGAGCACAAGCAGCAGCAGCAGCAGCTACTGCAGCATTTCGAGTGGTTGGGGGGTGCTAGGGCGGCGGTCTCTCTTTGATGAAGTGAGGGTTTGGGGTTTAGGGTTTAGGGTTTATATGTCTTCTTATAGAGACAAAACCCTTTTATTTAATGAAGACATTGACTTTCCCTGCGTAAGACTGCTGCAGATACACCCCAACCCTCAACAAGACACGCAGCAGCAGCAGCAGCAGAAGCACCAGAAAGAGGAGCAGCAGCAGCAGCAAGAGGCCCACCAGCAGCAGCAGCAACAGCAGCAAGAGGCACACCAGCAGCAGCAGCAGCAGCAGCACCAGAACCAGCAGCAGCAACAGCAGCAGCAGCAGCAGCAGCAGCAGGCTGCTGAGTTGAAGGGGAGTAGCTTGCTGCAGGGGTTTGCTGTTTCTTTTGTTGGGCAGTTGTCTTCTGCTGCTGCTCTTGACTTGGCGAAGCAGCAGCAGCAGCAGCTGGTGCTGCTGCCTTTGCATTCAAATCCCCCTGTATGTGTGCTGGTGAGAGACACTTCTTTGCTGCTGTCGCGACTGCAGCAGCAGCAGCAGAAGCAGCAGCAGCAGCAGCAGCAGCAGCAACAGCAACAGCAACAGCAGCAGTACTGCTACGACCCAGCAGCAAAACCAAAGGTATTCCGATTGAGTGCAGCAGCAGCAAGAAATGACACACAAAGGGTGCTGCAGCAGCTAAGGGGGGCCCTGCTGCAGCAGCGGAGAGTCTCTCTTGAAATTGTTTCACCTCCTCCACCCCACAGACCTGCTGCTGCTGCTGCTGCTGCTTCTGCTGCAGCAACAGCAGCAGAAAGAGTGCAGCAGGTAGAAGCACTCGTAAAAGAAGTTGTTTTGTCTAACAGAGATATTGCTAAGCCAGCTAATCTCCCCCTGAATGTTGCTGCGCTGCTGCAGCAGCAACAGCAGCAGCAGCAGCAGCAGCAGCAGCAGAAGCAGCAGAAGCAGCAGCAGAAGCAGCAGAAGCACATGTGGGTGTTAAAGTTGTGCCCATGTACACCTGAGCAAGCTGCTGCTGCTCCTCTTCCTAAAAACTTTGTCTTCCCTAAACCCTAAACCCTAAACCCTAAACCCTAAACCCCAATTGATTTAAGCTTGAAGCGGAAGTCAGCAGCAGCAGAACTCCTGGTCTATGGCGGTGCTGCTGCTGCAGCGACAGCAGCAACAACCGTAGCAGCAGCAGCAGCAGCATTGACAGAAACCAGCGTAGCATCATCAGCCGCAGCAGCAGCAGCAACAGGAGGCCTGAATATATACATTTATTTATTTATTTTATTTATTTTATTTATTTATTTATTTATTTATTTATTTATTTTATTAATTGACTAACTTGCTGCAGTATTTTCATCTATTCAGAGACAGCACAAACAAAATAATAAAATTAAAATACTTGTAAATAAAACTCTAAATGCTGCTGCTTCTCCTGAAGCTACTGCATCAAGCTGCTGCTGCTGATGCTGCTGCTGCTGCTGCTGCTGCAGTCTGCTGCTGCAGCAGGCTGCTGCTGCTGCGGCTTGTTGCTGCAGCTGAAACCACCACACAGTGGAGCCAGTAAGCCCCTCTTACATTTCCTAGCAGCAGCTGCAGCAGCACCAGCAACAGCAGCAACAGCAACAGCAGCAACAGCAACAGCTGCAGCAGCAGCAGCAACAGCTGCAACAACAACAGCTGGAGCAGCAGCAGCAACAGCAGCAACAGCAGCAGCAGCAACAAGGAAATGAGGCGCGCACTTTCCTGCTGCCGCTACTGCATAAAGAACAAGCTAGCTGCAGCTCGCTAGAGAGACGCAGCTAGCTAGAAAGAGACATCTAGCTAGCTAGCTGCTGTTAGCTAGCTGTTGCTAGTTGGCGAGACACTGCAGGCCCGACAAGCGCTCTTAGCTACATTTCCCCACCTAGCTAGCTAGCTAGCTAGCTAGCTAGCTACTTACCTAGCTAGCTAGCTAGCTACTTACCTAGCTAGCTAGCTAGCCAGCAAGCTGGGTAGGTAGCTAGCTAGCTACGATAGTGATGAAAAGACAAAACGAATATTCAAAAAGAAATACAGACTGACAAGCCCCAGCAAAAAGCCGCAGAAGGAACGCGAACTGCAGCAGCAGCAGCAAGCAGCAGCAACAGCAGCAGCAAACAGCAGCAGCAGCAGCAGCAGAAGTTGTTCCTTCTGCTGCAGCAGCACTCTTTTTTAATTTCATGTTGCCAGGCACGAACAAAAAAAAATGTCTTCAACCAACACACTTGATAGAAACTGAGGGTTTAGGGTTTAGGGTTTAGGGTTTAGGGTTTACTCGCATGCAGCCCCAGGTCCTGCTGGGGGGGAAGACATCTTCTTCATTTCAGCAAAACCCTTTTTCTTAAACCCTAATTATTGCTTATTATAGATTCCAAAACCCTAAACCCTAAACCCTAAACCCTAAACCCTAAACCCTAGGGCAGTGTACAGCGCCTAGCGAAGACAAGAAATGCTGCGCTCTGCTGCCAGCAGCACTTTACGGGGGCCCCTGGGGGCCCTTTGGGGGGCCCCTAGGAGTTGCTGCTTCTCAGTGAAGCGGCAGCTGCTGTCTCGCTGCTTCAGCAGCAGCAGCGACAGCAGCAGCAGCAGCAGCAACAACAACAACAACTGCAGCAGCAGCAGCAGCAACTGCAGCATCAGCAGCATCATCTGCGACTTACTGAGGAGTACACTACCATACCCTAAGCTTATGCATTTCGGCTTTATTTCGAGTGTATATACACCGCAGCCACAGCAGCAGCAGCAGCCGCAGCAGCAGCAGCAGCAGCAGCAGCAGCAGTTGCAGGAGCAGACAAAGGAGCAGCAGCAGCTCGTTGTGCAGCAGCTGCTGCGGCTTGAAGACACGCTGCTTGCTGCTAACTGGGGGGACAGCATAGCTTTAACTCTCAACGGGGCCCTCTGGGATGCAGAGCTGCAGAGACTTGAAACCCTCTGTCTACCCTTCCATCAAGATAAACAAGTGAGAGGGTTTAGGGTTTAGGGTTTAGGGTTTAGGGTTTAGGGCTTAGAGTTTACGGTTTAGGGCTTGGGGTTTAGGGTTTACGGTTTGGGGTTTAGGGTTTGGGGTTTAGGGTTTAGGGTTTGGGGTCTAGGGTTCGGGGCTTAGGGTTTAGGGTTTGGGGCTTAGGGTTTAGGGTTTGGGGTTTAGGGTTTAGGGTTTGGGCTTAGGGTATGAAGTTTAGGGTTTAGGGTTTAGGGTTAAGGGTTTAGGGTTTGGTGTTTAGGGTGTAGGGTTTAGGATTAAGGGTTTAGGGTGTGTGCCTTGCTACTAAGTCGGCGTTATGAGTGATGCAGAGGTACGCAGCCGCTCAAACCCTAAACCCTAAACCCTAAACCCTAAACCCTTTTGTTGCTGCTCAGGTGCAGGAGCGTCTGCAGAGTTTGCGGCGTTTGTTTGATTTGCTGCGGGTCTCTGAAGATATTAGAGACCATTTAAACGAGGTTATGGAGATGCAAAGCAGAAGTGCAGGTAAACCCTAAACCCTAAACCCTAATCCCTAATCCCTAGCCCGAACACGAGCACTAAACCCTAGCGGCCCCAACGCTAAACTCTAACCCTTACCCTAAACCCTAGCCCTAATTGTAAACCTTCACCCATTGTGCTAATCCTAAACCCTAGTTCTAAACGCTAAACCCTAGCCTTAATCATCAGCCCTAGACCTAACCCTAAACCCTAACCGTAAACCCTAAACCCTAGCACTAAACCCTAGCCCCTAAGTTTTGAATCCATAAGCCCAACCCGTAACCCCTCCCCCAAAACCGTAATTAAACCCTAAACCCTAAACCCTAAACCCTAACGGCTCGTAAGTGTTTGCGTTGTGTGTGTATTTAAAGGGCTAGGAGGGACAGGGTTTGGGGCTTGCCCGCGAATAACAAATATAAATGTGCATGCAGCAGCAGCAGCTGCTGCTTATAAAACATTAATTGATGCATGCGGAGACTTTGCTGCTAAGACCGAAGAAGCCCTAGGTGTTGGTCTAGCAAACTTGCGACAGAAAAATAAATTTGATCTGCCTAATGAACACAGATACTTCTTCTAATTGCTGCTGCTGCTGCTGCTGCTGCTGCAGCTGCTGCTGCTGCTGCAGCTGCTGCTGATCTGCTGCTGTAGCTGCTGCTGCTGTAGCTGATCTGCTGCTGCAGCTGTTGTAATGATTTAGGGTTCAGCTCTTATTATTATTCGAGCTCAGTTCACCCTGGAGAGGGCCCCCTTTAAGGCCCTCAAACCTTTCTTAAGGGCCCCCATTGGGGGCCCCCCTCTCTCGTTCCCCTTTAGGGGGCCCCCAGAGGGCCCCCGGGGGGGGCCCCTCTTGGGGGCCCCTCGCTACAAGGAGCCATAACTGGGGACCCATAGAGGGGCCCCCCTTAGGGGGCCCCCCCTAATGGGCCCCCCTGGGGACCCTCTTGGGGGCCCCTTCTCGTGGACATATTGAGGGGCCCCCCTAGAGGGCCTCTTGGGGGCCCTCCTTAGGGAGACCACCGTAGGGGGCCCCCCTGGGGGGGCCCCCCTTCTTTCGAAAGGGGCCCCCAAGAAGGGTTTGGGGGACTCCTTTAGAGCCCCCAAGGGGGTCCCCTTATAATAAGGGGGGCCCCTTGCTGGTGTTTTAGGGTTTAGGGTTTAGGAGGTTTGTTCATTTTTGTCTTCTCTCAGCAGAGGAGAAGCACGTGCTGCAGCTGCTTGCTGCTGCTGCTGCTGCTGCTGCTGCAGCTGCAGCTAGAAGGCAGCCAATACAGCAGACGCAGCGATAAACCCTAAACCTTTTTTCTGCTGCAGTGGAGGGTAGGGGGCCCCCAGGAGGGCCCCCTAACGATTAGCTGTGGAGAGGGTTTCTCAGACGAATTAAACCCTAACCCTAAACCCTAGCCCTAAACCCTAACCTTAGGCCCTAAACCCTAACCCTAGGCCCTAACCCTAAACCCTAACCCTAGGCCCTAAACCCTAACCCTGAACCCTAAGCCCCAGACGTACACCCTAAACCCTAGTTGTAAATCCTAGATCTAACCCTATCCCTAAGCGCCTTACCATACGCATAAACCCAAACCCTAAACCCTAAACCCTAACCCCTAGCCCTAAACCCTAAACCATGATAAATACTTTTAATAGCTGCATTTCGATAAAGAAGAAAAGGAGAAAATGAGCAACGGAATCTTCGGAGGGCCCCTGCTGCATGCAAGAAAAGGCTTTGGGGCCCCCAAGGTGCTGCTGTGGGGGGCCCCTTACCCTTTGGGGGCCCCCTGATCTCAGCTGCTATCGTGAGGGCCCCCCTAGCCTTTCAGGGGGCCCCCTGCAGCTGTCGCGGGGGCCCCTAAGAAGAGAACGATGGGGCCCCCTGCTGCTGGCGTGGGGGCCCCCTGCTGCTGTCGTGGGGGCCCCTAAGAAGCGGGAGGGGGGCCCCCTGCTGCTGCAAGGGGGGCCCCTAAGAAGAAGGACAGGGGGCCCCCTGCTGCTGTCGCGGGGGCCTCTGCTGCTGCCTTGGGGGCCTCTAAGAAAAGGAAGGGGGGCCCCTAGGGGCCCCCAGGGGGCCCTATGGCGCAGTGCAGCTGCCCTGAACGGAAGCAGACAGCAGCAACAACAAACCATAATTCTTTTTAATTGCATGCAGACAACCTGCTGCTCTTCTGCTGCTGCTGCTGCTTCTGCCTACGCTTAGCTGCAGCAACTGCAGCAGCAGCAGCAATATATGCAGCAGCAGAAGCACCAAGCAGCAGCAAAAGCAATATATGCAGCAACAACTGTAGGAGCATCTGTAGCAACTGCAGCAGCAGCAGCAGTAGTAGTAGTAAGTGTAGCACCAAAAGCAGCAGAAACAACAGCAGCAGCATCAACAGCAGCAGCAGTAGTAGTAGGAGTAGCACCAAAAGCAGCAGAAACAACAGCAGCAGCAGCAGCATCAGCATCAACAGCAGCATCAACAGCAGCAGCAGCATCAACAGCAGCAGCAGCAGCAGCAGCAGCAGCAGCAGCAGCAAACCTCAATTTGTGCCCTGATGAATTCTAGTCGGTATTGGAGTTCTTTAAGATCCCCCAAATTATTTAGTGTTTGCTGCTGCTTAATTTTTTGTTTGCTTTCATCTGCCCGTTCACTGCTTTTGCTGTTTGCTGCTGCTGCTTCGCTGGCCTCGCTTCTCCATCTGTGAGGGCAGCTTAGCAGCTGCCGCTGCTGCAGCAGCAGCACCATTTGCTTCGCAATCCCTGGCAGGCTTTCGCGAGCTGCAGCAGCAGCTACTGCAGCAGCAGAAGGTGCTGCTGCTGCAGCTGCTGCCTCTCCTCCTGCACCAACAGCAGCTGCTGCTGCAGCAGGACTTACTGCCACAGTATGTGCTGCTGCAGCAGCAGATACTGCAGCAGCAGCAGGTTCTGCAGCAGCAGATGCTGCATCAGCGCTTAGCAGAGTCCAGGGCACTCTCTCCTCTGCATATGCTGCTTCCTGCTGCTTCTGCTGCTGCTGCTGCTGCTGCTGCTGCTGCTGCTGCTGCTTTTCCTGCTTCAGCTGCTTCTCCCAAGCTGCTTCTCTTGACTTCACCTCCGTTGATTTAAAGGGGGGCCCCTGGGGCCCCCAGAAGTGCTGCTGCTGTGGCATAAAGCGGCGAATGAATTCTGCTGCTGTTGCTTCTGCTGCTGCAGCAGCAGAAGGTGCTGCTGCTGCTCGCTTTTCTGCGTTAACTCTTGATGTTGCATGCGCTCTAATAAAGCTGCTCAGTTGCTGCTGCAGCAAAAAAGCTGCAGCAGGAACATTGCCCGCCTCTTCATCTGATGAAGACTCGCCTTCGGAAGGTGTTGTAGCAGCAGCAGCAGCAGCAGATGGCGCCGCTGCTGCAGCTGCTGCTGCTGCTGCTGCTGCTGGAGGAGAGGCCTCCTCAGCAGCACAAGGGGATTCAGGCACGGGGGTGCCGTCTGCAGCAGCATCAGCTGCTGCTGTTGCTGTTGTTGTTGTTGCTGCTGCTGCTGCAGTTGTTGCTGCTGTAGTTTCTGTTGCTGCTGCAGCATCAAGCTCGCAACGAAGCCTCTTGGGAGGGCGTAGGTCTTCTGCTTGCTGCTGCTGCTCTTGCTTCTGCTGCTCTTGCTGCTGCTGCTCTTGCTGCTGCTGCTCTTGCTGCGTATGTCCTTTTTGCTGCTGTTGTTGCTGCTGCGCATGCTGCTCCTGAGTTTGCAGCAACAGCAGTTGCTGCTCGTGCTGCTCTGGCTTCTGTTGTTGATGCTGACATTCCTGCTGCTGCTGCTGCTGCGGCTTCAAGTATTTCTGCTGCTGCTCTTGCTTCGCGTGCTCCTGTTGCTGTTGCTGCAGCTTCTGGTCTTGCTGTTGCTGCACCTGCTGTTGCTGCAGTTGTTGTTGCTGTTGTTGTTGTTCCTGTTGTTGCTGCTGCTGTTGCTGATCCTGCGGCATCTCCTGCTGCTGCTGCTGTTGCTGCTGATGTCTTGTCTCTTGCTGCAGTAGCTGTTCTTGCCGCCTCCCTTCCGAGGTGCCTGCAGCATCTGAATCGGCTGCTGCTGCTGCTGCTTCTGCTGCAGCAGCAGCACCTGCTGCTGTTGTTGCTGCTGCTGCTAGAGGCAGCATTCCAGCAGCAGCTGCAGCAGGTGCTACTGCTGTTGCCGCTGCCCAAGTTTCTCCCTCCACAAGGATATCAAACCACCTGCTGCTGCTGCTGCTGCTTCTGCTGCTGTTGCTGTTGCTGCTGCTGTTGCTGCTGCTGCTGCCTCGCCTAAGCTTCTTTTCAATCAGCTGCTCCCGCAGCCAAGATTTAAACCCAGCGCTGTACAGCTGCAGCAGCAGAGGCCCTGCTGCTGCTATTCTGCTAATGTGATACTCTTGCGCTGTCCACATGCTGCTGCTGCTGCTGCTGCTGCTGATGCTGCTGCTGATGGGGGGAGGTACTGCAGCAGAAGCCCAGGAAGGAGATGCTTCGCCTAGCAGCAGCAAGAAGCCGCAGCAGCAAGCACGTAGCAGCAGGAGCTGCTGCGGATCGCTGTGGGGCACTGATGAAGCAGCAAGAAAATAACTGGTAAGGCACTGCACGCAAGTGCTGCTGTTGCTGCTGCTGCTGTTGCTGCTGATGCTGTTGATGCTGATGCTGCTGCTGTCTGTCATGATGATGCTGGTGCTGCCCTTCGCCTCATTGCTGCTGCTTCTGCTGAAGCAACCAGTGCTGCTGTTGTCCTCGCTGCTGCAGCCTTGCTCGTTGCTGCTGCTGCTGCTGCTGCTGCATTTGCTGCTGCATTTGCTGCTGCATTTGCTGCTGCATTTGCTGCTGCATTTGCTGCTGTAGTTGCTGCCGTCGTAGGTGCTGTTGCTGTAGTTGCTGCTGCAAGTGTTGCTGGCGCATGCACCGAAGATCCCCTTCGTGATGATGCTGTTGCTGCTGCTGGTGCTGCTGTTGCTGCTGGTGCTGCTGGTGCTGCTGGTGCTGCTGTTGCTGCTGTTGCTGCTGTTGCTGCTGTTGCTGCTGTTGCTGCTGAAAGTGTTGTCGCTGCTGCAGCTGCTGCTAGGGAGCTGCTGTTGCAGTTGCTGCTGCAGTAGTTGCTGCTGCTGCTGCTGCTGCTGCTGCTGCTGCTG